AAACGGCTCAAATGGTGGATCAAAGTTGTCACATTATCCATTGTTGTTGTTATTTTATCAATTGTTTTCTTGTAATGGGGGAGTGCCTTTTTCTTTTTCAGAAGGTATATCAGTATTCTTATCTACTTAAACGTAATGCAAATTGGTATGCCTATATTTTTTAGGTAATATAACAAGTTTAAATTCAAAAACTCAATATGTTTTTTATTTAGAGACTGAAATTCGGTATACTTATTCCATTGATCAATGATGGTGGTATCATGGAGGTTATGAGTTCAAATCGCCCTCCCTCTGCCTACTGTTAAACAAAAATTGGTATAATTACTTGTGGGTGGAGTCGCTAGGGCACGTGATTTTGCCAAAAAACTTATTTGATGCACCTTTGGCAATTGTTGACAAAAGGCAGCATTGACACAACCAGCTGAGGTACCTTTCTTATGTGTTCCTTTGTGCCATTCTAAGTTGTAGAGTGTCGTTGTTGTTGTCATCCATGGTCATTAAGCCATGTGTTACTCGTATTTATTTACAAATAAAAGATGTAACATCTCCACAAATTTATTTGATCTATGTATTTTTAGGTAATGAATTTAATTGGTGATATGCAAGGAATAGTTGTTGTGATGTTGGATGACAATATCGACACTACTAGTTATTCATTCAATATATGAACCACTTATACTGTATCGAAATTAATTTTTTCATTGTGTTATTTTTCAGGAACTATTTCTAAAGGTGCACCTCTATTACATGAAAATGGAGACAGGGGAATGTATGCATGTTGTGCTCATTCTGTAAAATATGTAAGACTGTTATTCTGTAAGAATATGTATGAATTTACATTCAGATGTCCATGAATATATAAGGATTTTGTTATTTTTCAACTAGTGGTTCAAGAATGTTGTCTTTTTTTCAAGAAGTTTATTTACTCAAAATATATATTCTATCAGAAATATGTATCCTAGAATTCTTATAGAATGTCATTCTAACATAATGTCATTTTGATAGAATAAAATCAGGTATAATTAAAAATTATGTTACAGTTAAAATTGAATTAATTAAAAAAATTATAATTTTTAACTCAAAAGAATTAATTATCCCCAAAATTTTGGATTTTCCTTTTTTAAATTTATCTCAATTGACAAAAATTTGGATTTTCCTTTTTTATATTTATCTCAATTGACTAAAATACTTATTAATCGTTTTCTTAAAATAACTAAAATTATTGGTCCATAATCAACCCTACTTCCACACAATAAATAGTTAAAATACAATAACATATATATATATATATACACACACACACACACACACACACACACACACACACATAGGGTGAGCAAAATGTAATTGTTTAAGTCGAATCAAGATGATCGATAACCGGATCGGTTAGCCAATACAAGTGTTCGTCCTTTTTCCGGTTAGAACTGGTAAAAGTCCTTACGTAGTCCGTACAAATAGTTAAAGTTCTATGTGTTAAATGAACCAACCAATGCTTTGAGCCAAGGTGATTAGAATAATACCAAATTAACTAACAAAAATTAACCAAAAAATATTAATACTCTAATACCAAATCAACCAACAAAAAAAGTAATAATCCTAACAAAAACTTACAAACTAATATCATAACATAAAAATTCATAGTTTTATACAATTCAACCAACATAAGTCATAATCTAATTTTTCATTGGCCTTTCTCTGTTCCTTTGACATCTAGTTTCTTTAAAGTTAGTGCAAGATTGTTAGTATTTAATAAAAAACAAAAATCATATCAAAATAGAACATGAATTGTAAAAAGAAAATACCCAAAGCGATATCTTCGTCTTTCAAGATGTCTTCTATTATCGGATTTTTAGATTTTCCTACCTAATTTTGGGTGCAAAAAATCAAAGCTTCTACAATCAATGTCAGCAAGATAGTCTGATACAAAAATTAAACTCGCTAAACGCAAGCTCGGACGTCATAGTTAAGAACTTGAAATGTGTATCGCCAATATGTCTAACAACAAAAGAATTATAAATTATAACGACATTAATTTATATAAAAACTATGGTAAACTAAAAAAATAGTAATTGCCTTTCTTCATCCGAGCTCGTTAAGCATATATGAAGCTCTAGATCGGCTCGTTAAGGATCATTAAGGCTCGTATGTTCGTGAAGCATATTAAAGATCGGGATTGACTCGTTATTTTTTCATATTTTATTAATATATAAGTAATAAATAATAATATATAAAATAAAAGTATATTATACAAAAACTCGTTTAAGCTACGAGCTTAAATGAGCCCATAAGTGCAGGCTCGAAATCGGACTCGTTTATTAAATGAGCTTTATTCTAGGCTCAAGCTCAGGCTCGGCTCGTTTCGAGTTTTTAACGATCCAATCATGGATAGCTCACGAGTAGCTCGACTCATTTAATTACATCCCTATACGCAACTTATAAACAACTTGAGTCTCTTTCAAATAGCTTCTTAACTCGTTATATCTGAGTTGCTACCTCCAAGGTTAAGTAAATCGTCGAAAAAATCGTTGTCATCAACACACTCAACGACTTTTAGACGAATTTCTTCTTGAGAATATTACATTGTCGAAACTTTCCAAGTAGGTCCTAAACAATTTCTTCATCCTCATTTGATCTCCCGAACCATTTGATGTGCTTTTAACTCTCCCAAAAAGTAATTAATGTTTTTTTAGTATTTCATAGTTTGCTTATAATTAATGTTGTTGCAATTTGTAATTCTTATAATTAATGTTGTTTCAATTTGTAAATCTCAACTGTGGCAACTGAACCCACATTTAACACAAGTGGTAGAGTTTTAAATGAGGATCAAACTAAGTTGTATAGTTGAAGCTTTGGTATGCACCCAATATTAGGTAAGAAAATCTGGAAATCCAATAATAGACAACTTCGACACCATCTTCAAAGGCAATGGCATAGCATTCGACATTTTTTTTATACTCCCTCCGTCCCAAAATAATAGTCTACAGACAAAAAACACACAGTTTAAGAAAACATTAATTAGCATTAACTTTATTAAATAAAATGACAGTTTTACCCTTCTGTTGCATTTAATTCTATGATAGTTGTATTCAATTTTATGGTAATTTAACTAACAATGAAGGGTATTATGGTAAAATACATGTTTATTTTTAAAAGTAAACAATTATTTTGGGACAAACCAAAAAGGAAACATGGACTATTAATATGGGACGGAGGGAGTAATTGTTTACATAGATATCACATAAGTTTTAAACAAAGACAAATATGGTAAAGAAACTCATGAAAAATTAGATTATGATTTTTGTTTGTTCTCCCACCGTCCCAAAATTATTATTGTCCTCTGACAAAAAAACACATAGATTAAGAAAAAAACAACCATTAGTTTTGTCTTTTTGAGTAAAATGACCCTCTTGCCTTTTTCTAAAACCAATGGAAAATGTGTGTTTGTAATTAGTCAAGTTTACTTTATTAAATGTTAGGGGTAATATGGTAAAATTGTGTATCTACTTTTGGTAGTGGACAATAATTTTGGGACAAACTAAAATAGTAAGGTGGACAATAATTTTGGAGTATTAAATTATGTATTTTTTTGTTACAATTTTGTAAGTTTTTATTGTTTATTTTTGTCGGTTGATTTGGCATTAAAGTAAAAATATTTTTGGGCTAATTTTTGTTGGTTGATTTGAGATTTTTCTAATCGGGCTCAAAACATTAATCACATTTAACATATATATATAGATTTATCTATTTGTACCTACTACATAAAAACTTATAAGACTACATGGTGTGGTGGGGGAATTGTCATCGACATCCTACCTGGCCAAGATTTCTTTTTTTCTTTAAATTACCACTATAAATATATGCCAAACTTTCACCATTTTTACCATTACAAAATATCAAATTTTTACAAACTTCTTCTAAAACTCAAAATGTATTCCCATAACTCAAGAAAAAGATAATACGCCAAGCTTCGGTATATGGAAAACTTTCTGGTTGGGATTTGTGCTTTGTAAATTTTACATCTGATTACCTTCCTGAATTATGAATTTATTTAGTAATCTGTATTGCTTATATTTTTGTTTATTTTCTCTACTTTTAGGTTATTGTGAAAAGTGGTAATGATTGTCGGCAGGAACGTCCAGCTGATTTCTCATTTTTATGGTATGTTTGTTCTGTACGATTTACATTTATCTGAATAATGCATATTGTTGAACATCATGGAAACATAGTTTTAGGGACAATTGAAACCTGTTAGAGAAAAGGTACTAAACCAAAGCTTTATTTTCCTAATGTAGTGTTTGGTATGATGAAATATTCTCTTAGACAAACATTTGCTTCATATAGTTAGTTCAGTGTATGTGGTAAAAGCCATTATATTCACATATTTGTTACAAAAGTAATTTGGTTTCTCCTATAAACTATAAACTATATAAAGTAAAGATAAACTAATAAGACAGCGAAGAAAATAAATATTAGAGGTGAAAGTACATTGCTTTATATAGAGGGAAAGTACATTGCTATTTCTTGTAATTATCCCTTTTTCTAATATTATTGGAAATTTGATAGATTTTTATAATCTTAGACATATTCCAAGAAGTTGTAGCTACGTCCTTATAAAGTTCTTGTCACGTCATCTTACAAAGCTCTAATTCAACCAATTCCAGACACCGAACAATATTCATCCATTTTTTAAAAATTTTGTTTGAAATATAAACATCTCTAAAATTTACTCAACTTGAGTTTACACTTTATTGTAGGCATGAATTCATTCCATCAAAAGTAGATTCCCCAATATCGCGAGCTTGCATAACTTTTTTGTAGCCAAATTACTAGATAATAAAATGTCCGTCTTAAAAGGGTGAAAATTATCAACTTTGCGTTCAATAGTTTCTTTGCTATTCGATTTTGGTAATAGAACTTGTTTAGTTTTTATTGAAATTAACATGACACCATTGTCTAGCATCTCATTAAAACAGAAAACCTAAACTAGGATAACCAAAGATGATGTCTTTATAGAAAGAGTCTATTGTATTCCGAAAACAACTCATATGGAAACAAAATTCATGTTCAAAAGAACCAAACAGCCTAAAAAAGGATGCAGGTAATTATAAGAAAAAGAAGATACAGTAACCGCAAAACAAACCTAAGCAGTAAGCAAAACAGCACCACCAGCCTCTTTAATCTTCTTCTCCGCTGTCTTTGATATAAGCTTCGCCTTAACAACCATCGGATGCGACGGAGGCACCATACCTTTCCCTAAAACCTTGAAGAATCCGTGCTGTGATACATCGACTACAGGGATCTTGTCGGCGGAGGCATTCTCTCGCACGTCCTGAGGAACCATGGACCAGAGCTTGTCGACGTTGACGATGGGGCAATAGAACTTGTTTCGTAGCTTGTGGAAGTACCTCATTCCGACTTTACCGAAGTACCCTGGATGATATTTGTCGAAGAGGATACGGTGGTGGTGCATTCCTCCGGCGTTACCCCTACCTCCTGGATGCTTCCTGTGTTTTCCGATACGACCATGTCCGGCACTCACGTGACCCCGCTTTTTACGGTTCTTCCTGAGTCTGGTCGTCATTCTACCCTAAAGTACCCAAAAGGATTTCAAATCAACAATGAAAACGATTATATGTATATGAATGCATTGAGTTCTAACATAAAGTTGACCATTCTAAGAATTTGATACGCATAACAGCTACAGAATCATAATTGGATAGCTGATGAAAAGAACAGTAAACAACTATGAATACCTGAAAGGAAAACTCCGGCTACAAGCGGCAGCGACGACGCTAGGGCAGAGTATCTCAGCTACATAAATAGGAACCCTAACTCGATTTATAGCCTATAAAAGATCCAATGGATATCTCTTCGTGGGCTTATGGCTAATGCCGATTCTAATTTGGGTTGTAGGCCTAAAGTAAACTAAGACCAATTCCAATCATAACATCAATATTTATATACTTTTTGTGGAAATTTTATATAAATCATAATTCAAACTCCAACAGTAACCACATAATAAAAATACAATGTTATAACTGACATATAATAATTTCAGAAAATTTAAAAGGCCAATTAAATCATAAAGTGGTTTTTGGTGTTGGAATGGTTGACCTCTATATATGGAGGACATTGTTGGAAAAAATAGGGTTTGTAGTGAAGATCTGGATACCAACTTGGATCGTGAGAATACCTTCCGAACTGATATTTTTACCTTATGCATGGGTTGCAATAAATTCATCCTAGGATAATCCAAGTGGGCACTTACGATTCTAAGCATAGAAATCGTAAAGCCAAATTGCTAGAAAGATTATGTGAGTGTATGAGAACCGAGAGCTAATTTCCGTATATCTTTTCCCTTAAGGAAGAGTCATTTATATAATAAACGAAATTAGAGTTTCATTAGGGTTGGGTCGTCATTAGTTGCTTTTGAAGCAAGTCAGGGTAATCCAGATTTTAATGATGATTTAGGGTTACCAAAACTAACGAGTTTCGTTAGTTTTACCATAATCACCCTTAGACCCCGCTAGGGGCGCTGCCCCTAAACCCCACCAAAGGGGCGCCGCCCCTTTGGAAACTCCGGACCCAGGGGCGTTGCCCCTGGACCTCCGAATTGTCGTCGAACAGGCTTCTAATTCGATCTTATATATGTGTGCACTCCGCACCAACCCGTACATATATTAGGGTACAAATTATAAAGTCTCTTATCTCACATATTAGTTCCAATTACATAAAATAACATGGTGACACTAAAATCACCAACAGGCATTATTCATCTACACAAAAATAATATAACAGTTAAAGGTTTGTTGTAATATAAATGACCTCTAAAATGGTTTAGAGGTCCATTGGAAATTAGAATTGGCCTAATATGTCTGATACTATGTGTGAGACTCGTGTATTACACGGGTTTATTAAAAAGAAAATTAAATAGCAAGGTGTAAACATTAAACATTTTTAAAGTAAAATTTCAAAACTTAGCAATATAACATCTTTCCAATGTTGCTAATATATAGAAACTTGAATTTTCAAAAAAAAGTCAGCTTCTAAAAATTAGTATTCGAATCGGACTGGTTCCTTACATGTATAGAATTTTTTTTTTAAAAAAAAATTGTATATGATGTAACAAAATTCTAGTTCGAGATTGTTTTAAACTACATTCTGTAATATGCATCCTTGATAGGAGGAATACAAAATTTTAGATAATTTTAATAACATTTATAAATACAAAGATTTAATTCAAATCCATAGTATGTTTCACATATGCAATGACATGAAAGTAACGTAGAGTAACAATAAAACTGCAACTCATCTGTGAAGTTTTGAGTTGCTAAATTATAAACATCAATTAATTAATTTCTATTGACAACAATAAAAGATTAAAAATAACAAAAGTTCATTAAAACGAAAATAATATCATGATAGAAAGCACATGTCTAGAATATAAAATTTGTAATTTAATTAAAACTGGAAATTCTTAAAAAAAGATGTGTCATTGCAAATTACATAAACAAAGATGGTTAAGATTACAATTTAACGTTCAATTCCATCATGGAATGAAGAACAAACCACAAGCAGACCAAGGAATGAAAGTAACAAATTTTAACCCTTTAGTCTTCCATGATTTTTCTTTATTGGCAGGGGCTAATTCGGAAATATGAATAGTTGAAAAGTAAAAAGATGAAGGATCGGTTTCTTGAATCTCATATATTCTTGGATCTTGATCTTCAAAAATCTTCCAAAACCGGACAATACAATATTCACTAACACTTGCCAAGTATTTACCATCATGACTGAACTTTAGGATTGAGATGTAACCATTGTGTGTTGCAAACTCTTGTGTGGCATAAAGAGAATGATAATTCTTTTGATTTCTTTTTTATGTGTCTGTACAGGAACTGAATGAGTACAAACATTGGTTTTTGAGTCTATGTGATTGGGCTTCAAAGTTACTGATTCCTCATGTTTATTTGTGATTGGAGCCATAATGTTTAGCTTTTGTATTTCTTCCTCATATCTAACAAACTAACAGTTATCCTTCTTTCCGTGAAGACCCATGAGAAGATGAACTAAAACTCTTTATTAAACCATTGTCATGGAAGTAGAATGATGTTTTTCTCAATATGTCTTCACCTGATCCATCCCAATTTCCAGTTTTGACTCCATGATGCTCCTTTAAACCAGAACATACCAACTCAATGGCTCTATTTGATCAAACAGTCAATGATGGCTGCCTACATAAAAAACCATCTTGAAAGTCTGGATTTTGAGGCAGCACAAGAACTGTATTCATTTATTTCATAAATGAAATGATCTTCACATTTCTCTTTTCCTTCTCTGTTTACAAGCCATTTAGAATTTAAACCCATGATCTCAAGAATTTATCACGACCAGTTCTAACATGATTACTCCCAATTCGCTCATGGTCATCCTCCTCGGTTTCAAATATGTAAAAACGTCAAGACATGAATAATGACAGATGTTGAAAGTTGACCCCATTAATTAAACTTGAATACCGGTTACTTCTCCCAAGATTTTCACTCGATCTGGTGACTAAATTTCCAGCAACCAACTACGGTAGAAAATCATTGTCAACATCTATATAATGTTGATGAACCTTCAACAAACCATATATGACGGGTGGAATTGAAGCATCTGGTTCTTCTTTTGCAGGAATCAACACCTAAAATAAACTAACTGAAAACGGTAAGGGACAAAAGAAGAAAAGAGAGAATAGATGATAAAACCCCCAAATCGCCCCAGTCTCCGATGCAGGGCTCACCTAATTACTCCAAAATTATCCTGTAGAAATGCACATATCAGTAAACCTATAAAATTGTTGAATCCTATTTTCTTGACGAATCAGGTGATTCTTATCTTCAATTAAGTTTTTGTGAGATAGATGAAGCGGGAAGGGATTTTGAGAGACAGAGTTAGTGTGGGATAATATTGAGAATGATTTGACTTTGTAAAAGAATTAGAAATTAAATGAAAAGAAATCAGGTATTGAATGGAGAGAAATCAGGATTTTTTAAATGGTATTAAAACGAAAAGATTAAAGGGTGAAAATATGGTAATTAATTCCTAATTAAATGTGTATCATATCAGTTTTATTCAAGGTTCTAAAAAGCTCGTCATGGCTCCGCCATGGCGCGCCATGACTTCAAGGCTTGTGCGGTTGTGCCTCCCGCCAAACTTTACCAAAACGTCGTCTTAACTCATATATGTGTATAAAATAGAATAATAGTTGAAAATACATATTAAAATATTAATTATATACAAAATTGCCGCATTAAGTTACGCCTTACAAACGACGTGGCTCGCCAAGGCTCGGAAAAGCTTGAGGTTTGACATTGTCGCCAAGTCACGCCTTACGTTATTTAGAACCTTGGCTTTATTATTTAAAAAAATAAAAAATAAATAAAAATGACAAGTTGAAAAAGCTTATGTGTAATTTTTTGATAGCATCTGAAAAGAAAATATAAATTACAAGAAAATTACAAGTGGCAAAAACATTTTTATTTATTAGGGTAGATTCTTTTTTTTAATATAAAATTAATCTGATTTTTGGGCTTTTCTCTCAATCTTTCGCTAGCATGGCTTCTCAATGGCTATATTTGACCAAACAATCAGTGATGGCTGCCTAAACAAAAAAACATCTTGAAAGTCTGGATTTTGAGGCAGGACAAGAACTGTCTTCATTTATTTCATAAATGAAATCATCTTCACATTTCTCTTTTCCTTCTCTGTTTACAAGTCATTTAGAATTTAAACCCATGATCGCAAGAATTTATCACGACCAGTTCTAACATGATTACTCCCAAGTCGCTCATGGTCATCCTCATCGGTTTCAAATATGTAAAAACATCAAGAAAGACATGAATAATGATAGATGTTAAAGTTGACCCCATTAATTAAACTTGAATACCGGTTACTTCTCCCAAGATTTTCACTCGATCTGGTGACTGATTGTCCAGCAGCCAACTACGTTAAAAATCATTGTCAACATCTATATATTGTTGATGAACCTTCAACAAACCGCCTGTGTTCTTCTTTTGCAGAAACCAACACCTAAAATAAACTAACTGAAAACGGTAAGGGGACAAAAGAAGAAAAGAGAGAATAGAAGATAAAACCCCCTAAATCACCCCAGTCTCTGATGTTTCACCTAATTACTCCAAAATTATCCAATAGAAATGCACATGTCAGTAAACCTATAAAATTGTTGAATCCTATTCTCTTGATGAATCATGGTGATTCTTGTCTTCAATTAAGGTTTTGTGAGATAGATGAAGCGGGAAGGGATTTTGAGAGACAGGGTTAGCGTGAGATAATATTGAGAATGATTTGACTTTGTAAAAAAATTAGAAATTAAATGAAAAGAAATCAAGTATTGAATGGAGAGAAATCAGGATTTTTTAAATGGTATTAAAACGACAAGATTAGAGGGTGAAAATATGGTAATTAATTCCTAATTAAATGTGTATCATATTAGTTTTATTATTTAAAAAAAATCAAAAAAAAATTAAAAATGACAAGTGGAAAAAGCTGATGTGTAATTTTTTGATAGCATCTGAAAATAAAAAATAAATTACAAGAAAATTACAAGTGGCAAAAACATTTTTATTTATTAGGGTAGATTCTTTTTTTTAAATATAAAATTAATCTGACTTTTGGGCTTTTCTCTCAATCTTTCGCTAGCATGGCTTCTCGCAAACCGACCATGTTATTTGATATATGTCAAAAACGAGGTGACATTAACAGGCAGTGTTTTTGTGTCACAGATGGATATGTTTTATGTTTTATTAATATATTAAATAAACAGTTTATTTTTCCAGCTTACAGCATAAATATATATATATTATATATATATATATATATATATATATATATATATATATATATATATATATATATATATATAGAGAGAGAGAGAGAGAGAGGTGAGTTCAATTGAGAAAATAAAAAAGGTTGAGAATGGGGGAATCATTCTCAGCCACTCATTTAATCTAAGCATAAAAAGACACGGTGGCAAACTTGTAAATATGTTAATAACCTTCAATCTCAAATACGTAACTATAGAGAGTTCGATAACAGTTCGTTCATCATCAAAATTTCTCCTCCAACCTTCAACAATTACCCAGTGTTAATCAATCATCGATATTCGTGGCTGGGAGGTTCGCCGTTCAAGACAGATTCGCAACCTAGATTCATCAATTTCATCGATTTCTTTGTTGAATACTCCGAATGTTCGTAGCTTGCAAGCATTTGTTAAAGTTCATAACGAATTTGGAACTGGAATTTCCCAGATTCGCAAACGAAATCAGTTGGAATCGGTTTTCGTTGTTCATGAAATTGGAATCGGAGTTCTGGACTCGCAGTCACAGTCGACATTGAAGGACTCAGAATTGATACTCACAGGTTCCCAATCGGATTTTCGGAAATCAAAATCAAAATGAGAAATCGATCAGACATATGATGTCGCATCTGAAGTCGAAATCGGAAGTATATGATGATTTTGGAATTGATAACTTGATGTTTTTAACATTTTTAAAATAGTTAACTTGTATGCACTCCAACTGTTTGATGAAATGCATAAACTGAATTACCACGTTATATTCACATATGAATATGTTTTCTCACCTGAATCAGTATATGATTATTAAAAAGACAAAACAAATATGCAATTCTGTATGTTATTCATATGTGAATAACATATAAAAATTATATATATTTGTCAAAATATCTTCTAATATTCATAAGTGAATATATTCACAAGTGAATATACATTGTAATATTCATATGTGAATATACTGTGTAATATTCATAAGTGAATATATCATCTAATATTCACAAGTGAATATACTATGTAATATTCACATGTGATATACCATGTAATACTATGTAATATTCGCATATGAAATATCATTTAATATTCATAAGTGAATATATCATCTAATATTCACAAGTAAATATACTATGTTAATATTCACAAGTGAATACATCGTCCAATATTTAAATATGAATATACTATGTTTATTATATGCTATATTCATATATGAATGATACTTAAATTGTAAAAAAAATAAATCATATTTTTTATTCATAAGTGAATAACGAATGTACTGTAATAAAACCTGGTGCATTTTTATTCACTTATGAATAACGATAGCTAAAAATATAAAAAAAAAAAATTATTTTATCTTAAAACTATATCAATATGGATGTCTATTTGTAGAGAATAAAAAATCATGAATTTTGGTATATTTAAAATCATTTTTTTGATAAAAATAGCTTCTAAAAATTAAAAAAACGAAAAAAAACTATGTTTTTGTATATATTAAGGTAATGATTAGCATAGTTTAAGGAAATATGTTTTGTTGGAAAACACATATCTATTCATTTCCCATTTCCGCTGGTACGACGGAGGCTTTTGCGGCAAAAATAAATGAGTGACTGAGAATGATTCTCCCATTCTCAACCTTTTTTTTTCTCAATTGAACCCTCCCCTATATATATATATATATATATATATATATATATATATATATATATATATATATATCATTGGACAATATCTCTAATAATAAAAGCATAGTAGAAGGTTAAACAACCCATTCAGGAGGGGCGTCTTTTCATACACGATGTGTTGCTCACATGATAAATTATCGGTTCAAGTGGACTTGACAAGACCATTGATGAATTTAGGAAAAATGCTATGAATTATTGTTACAAAAAGCAAGGACAAGTATAACATATTAACTAACCAGATTGAATTCCATATATCATATGCTTAAAAGTAGTTTACGACAACAGAAAACATTAAAATTATTTTATGACAAAATAAAAAGGAATAGATTTGCATCCAAAAAGAAACATACCACCCACATGTGAAACACTCCTAGTAACTTTAAAAAAAAAATGTGCTACAATTACATTCTGTGGAAAAACAGAAAAAATATCCATAACAAGTGTAGTCTTAGAAAAATATCCTACAATAAGTTAAGTGTTCTACTCTACCAATGCCCTTTCCCACCAATAGGAACCGTGTTGGATCCCGACATCATACCTCGGTTGCCATACCCACCACCACCTCCTCGACCCCTCGATCTAAAGTTCCCACCAGAACCTATTAATTACAATAATCCATCATTTTTTATCATAAAAAATAAATATTAATTAAATAAAACGTTCAAAAGTTAAGTTAAGAAAATTGAATTACCTCCACCACCGGTTGACCGGGTCATAGAAGACAATGCAAGAGGAACAGCTTGACCAGCTTCTTGAAGAATCTTAACAAGCTCTCTTGCGTGTTTTGCATTTGAATGTGTGAAAAAAGTAACAGCAATTCCTTTAGCTCCTGCACGCCCAGTACGCCCTATCCTATGAACGTAGTCTTCGAGGCTTGATGGGAAATCATAATTGATCACGCATTTTATGTCCTTCACATCTACGGTTTTCAATTCAATATAACAACAGATTAAATTTAAAATTAATTCTTTAGATATGGAATTGGAATAAAATGGCAACCTTATCCCATTCATTCCCTGATTTTCTTTCAAAGCTCATAATCCAATTCCAATTCCAACCATTTGTTTCTCTGAGTCAACCGGGCTGTCACCTCATAACCGTGGATGGGCCGCGAGGCGATCAAATGTCTAAAAATCACAACTACTTGCATCATACTATTTCTACCCTACCTATTACAGCATTCTACTTTAACAAGTACAATGCTATGTTGGCTAGATTTTTACAATCCCTTGTAGGAAATAAAAATTATAATTTCACTATGTTGTAATGAAAAAAGAAATGGAAGTGGGATGCTATAATACAAAGATAAAAGAAGTATGTTTTATTTCTTACATTTAAGCCCTTAATAAGGAGAGTCCAATTCTGTGTAGAACAGAATGAACTTAAGGTTGCTACTCAAATTAAATTTTCAAACATATAAAGAGGGGTGTTTATGTTTAGATGTGTGCCTGCAAAGTGATTATTGCAATTCATAATCAATTGCTTAAATCAAGTGTAGTTGGATAATTTCACATTTACCTCAATCAGCTGAATTTGACTATGAAGTCGAAATCAGCTTTAGAACTAGAAGCACATCCAAACACCCCCTTAACAACAAAAAGATATTAATAATAATGCAGCAACTACATGACACTTTGTCAAACTATGACTTCAGTGTCAACAGCAGCATGAATGCATGACATAAAACAAAAGTAATAATGTATAGGGTAAATTACAAAAAATAGCAACATACTTTACTCTTTTTACCAACTTAGACAACATACTCTATATTTTTACCCATACTTGAATTTTTTCTACCCATTTTAGCCTTTTGTTTATATTTTTTACCTATAGTAGCAACATCTAACCCAAAACAGCAGCACATTGCTATTATTAGTGAAGATTGAAGAAATAAAGGAATGTTGCTATTATGGGTAAAAAAATTGGTAAAAAGAATAAAGTAAGTCGCTATTGATAGTTAGTAGTTCTTAACTTCTAATGTCTAGTGTATTATGTGTTGTTGGACTAAAATTTATACCAAAGAATCCTAGGGGTGTTCATGGTTCTGTTAACCTTAAAAAAACTAGACCTAAGTGAACCATATTTCAGTTAACCTCGATCTCAGGTTGACAATCTATTTGGTCTGATGATTTTTTTAACCCTAGAAAATCCAAACTTCCAAGGTTATTATATTATGGGATCAGATGCAAGTTTTTTCCTAATCCTTTATAAAGGATTCTATGCATAACCATATCCATACTGGACGTGAAATGCTAAAATAGAAGTGGAAATGATGCAGCCTCCCCGTATAGATGATGTTCCTCTGAGTATTTGTGGGAACTGTGTTGTGGCACAAACTCATATATACATACTCCCTTCCCCTTTGGCACCCAAACCACAAATTATTTTGTCAGGTAAAAGTAGACAGCAGCCGGCAACTCCCATTCCCATAAGTTTAATGACCTAAAAACAATTTCATCCTACCAAGACCACGTGCAGCAACATCAGTGGCTGTCATTATAAGACTCCTTCCACTTTTAAATTCAGCCAACACCCAATCCCTTTCACTTTGGCTTTTATCACCATGGATGGATAATGCAGGCCATCCATCCATTCTAAGTTGTCTTGTCACTTGATCACATCCTTTTTTTGTTTCTACAAATATTAGGATTCTGCTTCCATCCATCATTTCTTTCAGAACTCCAATAAGCCTGTGTTGTGTCAGTGTCAATTAAACTTCAATCACACAAGAAAAGGAGACTCTTTTCTTTTATGTAAAAACTAAAAAGTAGTAATTTTTTTTATTTATTTATACCTGCTGTACTTCTCCATGTCTGTTACGACTTCAATTACCTGGTTTATTGCCTGATTGGCTTTCAGAACAGGGGATCCTATGATCACCTAAAGAGTTCCATGTTTATAACAGGATCAGATAAGCAATTTAAAAGTATGCTTCTCTTTTACTTAATGGGTTAAGCATTTAATCTGTACATGAATGTTTCTTTTTTTACTTAAACATGAATAAATGACTTCATTTGTTAAGCCTAAAATCCTGGCTTGATGTATGAAGACACCATTACAGTTTACTTATTTTCCTTTCTTCTTTTTTCCTTCAAACTCCTCTCACGTTATAACTGATGAGCATTGTTAAAGATTTTTGATAAAATGGTCATTTAGTCTCATTTTCAAACAGTTTATTCTGTCTAGAATAGAGGCAGACTTTATGTATACAGCACTTTATCCACACAGACATCATTACCCATTCAGCCATTTTACTCATAAATGGCTTAAAGGGGACAAAAGAAACACCCCCTGAGTATAGAGTAATAAGGTAAAAGTAAATAGTAACCTTGTATGGATTGCGTAAGAACTGTCTTGCCAAACTCTCGACCTCTTTAGGCCATGTTGCACTCCAATAGAGAGTTTGTCTATCTGGTCTGATCTGTCAAAATTAAGCACCTCCAAAAACTTAGCATAAGATACTTGATTATAGTGGACATTTAAAGCTGCAGTTAAGGGGGAAAAAATCATATGAGAAGTGCAACATACTTGGGAAATGATTTTTCTGATTTGAGGCTCAAATCCCATATCTAACATACGATCAGCTTCATCCAAAACAAGGTAAGTCACTCTTTTCAAGTTTGTTTGACGAGCTTCTAGCATATCTATCAACCGACCAGGTGTGCCAATGACAATTTCAACCCCTGAAATAAAGATCACATATGCTTGTAAATTCATCTTTATTTCCAAAAAAGAATATGGTTTTATATAAATTGGCAATTGGAGTACCTCTTTGAAGATCACGAATCTGTGGACCCTTAGGGGCACCACCATATATGCAAGTGCTTCTTATATTAGAATGCGAAGCAAATTTGCCAGCTTCTTGTTGGATTTGTACAGCCAATTCTCGAGTAGGAGCCAATACTAATACAATGGGACCATCTCCATGAACTAATTTTGGGAAATACAGACAGAAAAAAAGTAACATGATAAATTAGAAGAATGGAATCTCACAAAGACAAATTAAAAGTATATAGTAAGTTACTAACCCAATGGAGGTTGTGCAGAAACATGGACTACAGCAGGCAGCAAATATGACAAAGTCTTGCCAGAACCAGTCTCTGCAATCCCAATTAGATCTCTTCCCTTTAAAGCCATAGGCCATCCTTGGGCCTGAATTGGTGTTGGCTCAACAAATCCCAGTCTGGAAATGACATCTAGACAGTAACCTACACAGAATGAAAAACCATTAATTGACTGATAAGAGTTTGAGATAGCAGAGATAGGAGAAAAGGTGAGCAATTTTCTCAGGGTATAGACTCATTACCAGGAAAACCTGCCTCATGAAACATCCGGATTGGCTTTGGGACATCATGTCCTTCAACAGTAATCTCCCTCCGACCACGGTAAACTGCCACCTCTTGATCAGTCATGTCCCTTACAGAAGGAAATTCGATGTAGAAGTTCTTCTCAAATGGTACCAAGTTGCCAAAATCTTGCTTTGGTAAAGCTATACTATCCAAGTCCCCTTTAGCGCCACTTCCTCTTCCTCCTCTACCACCACCACGACCACCATCAAAGCTCCTCCCTCCACCTCGCCCACCTCTCCCTCCGTCACGCCCACCACCCTGATATCCTCTGTCGAAACCTCTACCACCGCCACCGCCACCTCTGCTGCCACCGCGACCTGAATTAAAACCTCTACCTCCTCTGCCTCTACCACCATCAAAGCCTCCATTGCTCATTCTTCCACCACCATCTCTCCCAGAGCCGAACCCTCTCCCTCCCCTTCCACCCCCACCTGCGCCAATATTAAAACCTCCCCGAACACCAGGTTCGAAAGGAGGGTATCCACTTCCAGCAGCTCTTCCACCGCCGACAAAAGACGGTGGTGGTGCTGGAGGACCTCTGAATGGAGCCGGTCCACCGCGGACGTAGTTTGGAGCAGCACCTACCGCAGGGGGTCCCGCCGTAGGCGGTAATCCCATAAAATCACTGACACATTGAACATATCAACAAATGAATCATTCAATCAAAACTAATGCCTAAAAACAACTACGGAACAAACAGATACGTATTGACTTCGAATATTAACAATCTGAACGAAAAAAGTAGGTTTATATGGTACCTCCGACGCTGATGGTAAGAACCGGCGTCCACAATTCTGTCGTCGTAACGATTCATCACGGTTGATTGAAATCGATGATGGTTTCCGGATTCAGGGTTAGGGTTTTGAAAAGTGCTCGAGGGTTTGACTGATCTGAAAGAAGGAAAAAAGAGAGGGACAGGGAATGATATTTTCCTCCTCAGATATTTTGTCGCCACCATTGGTAAGTTTTTTTAACAAACTATATTAAAATTTTGGTAAGTTTTTTTTAACAAAACTATATTAAATTTTTGGAAAATATATTTTTTGATTTATACGTATTTGGTACTGAGTTTTGTTTTTCGTCTATATTTACTCCTTTAACTTATTAAACTATACACATTCAGTCCTTAGACTGACTACTCCAGATAGGCCGGAAAAAATGACTTAAAAGAAAATTATATATCTCAATTTGGACACATTTAGTCCTTAATATTTTTCTGTATATATAGTCCTTAATATTTTTTTATTGCAAAATAAGTCTTTGTTGTTTTTGTACATATTCAATACTTATGATTGATTTCTTTAGGTTTTCTCATGTCATTGTACGTGAGATAATCATTAATAAGGTTTTTGGGGTTGTTAATTGTAACATCCCCAAAAGGAGATATAATTTCTCAGACCTTAACATTTTATATTTATGTCAAGATTGGTCCTTATGTTGAAAAAGGTGGCATTCGAGTACGCGGGGCGTACGCATGAGTACGCTCAGCGTACTTATGCACTTTGCATTGTCAGGAAGGCCACCTAATACGCTGGGCGTACCAAAGTGTACGTTGGGCGTACTAGGCTCAGTGAGAAACTCTAATATTTTCTTGTGCCCCTATTTAAGGAACATGATGGCCTCATTTCCATCCACCATTATCAGCCTCCAATCTCCTCAAAACCCTAATCTCGTCCCTCTAGCTTGTGTGAGTGTTTGTGGCTCATTTGAGTGTTCTTATGAAGCTCTTAGTGGAGAAGAAGCCTTGAAGGAAGGATAGTTGGTGTTTCTAGCTCTTGGGTCTGATTTCCACTTCAGTTGGTGCATCTTCCAAAGGAATCAAGTTCAAAACTTGTTCATTGTTTGTTCTAGTTCTTGTTTTGGGTCATTTTTAGGGTTTTATGTCCCAAGTATGGAACTTTACGAGTTTGGTGAACTCTAGAGTTATTCTTTTGTCCTTTTAGGTGTATTAGAGTGTTCCAATCCATAAAAATGAGTACTTAGACGTCTAAATCTCTCCATGCATGAGTTGTATGGTCTTTTGTGTTGAGAAAGTTAGAGTTTTTGGGATTGGGTCTTGTCTAGCCATGCAAAGGCTCAAAGTCAGCAACTTTATGGAATAAGAGGTCTTACTTAGCTCAGATCTATAGGAATGCTTGTCTTAACGGGTTAAGACCAAGAGAAGTGAGAAGTGGGAGTCCGAGGAGTACGTCGTGCGTACCCCCAGCTACGCGCAGCGTAGAGTCAAAAACCCTTTGTCGCATGCTTAGCCAGCAGTACGCCCAGCGTAAGGAGTTGTACGCCCAGCGTACACGTTGGGGGTTGACTTTCGTTGACTTTTGGGTTTTAGGTCAAATTGTGGTCTTTTGGCCAATGAGGGGCAAAATGGTCTTTTTACCCTTCTGAGATTAGTGAGAGGCTCGGTCTAGCATTACGAGGTTATTAATATTAATTAGAGTTATATAAGCAGGATTTAGTGGAGAGAAAAAGATAGATCACTTTGAGATGATCATGTGGATATAAAGATCGTTGAAAACGAAGTTCGTATAAGAAAGTTATAGCTATTTGAAATTAGGGTGAAAGTATGTTGCAATTTATGGGAAAGTAAAAAAAATCAAGTCAACGGTCAACTTTAATATCCACGACGTGGTGGTATGATTACCATGACATGTTAATAGATGAGTCCCAAAATATATGTGTCAAAACTAACGGCCATGAGATGGCCAATATATTACCACGACGTGGTATGTGACAAGTCATTGCGACACATAGCAGAAAAGTGCGACACGTGGCGAGACCAGGATTCAGTTGATCACCATGACATGGTACATGTATATCCACAACATGGTGATCTCATGATTTGTCCGATAACATTCACTTGGGGTTTAAATAGATTCGCCATGTTATGTATAGTATGTTGTATTTTGGGAAACTCACTATGGTTTACGCTTAGGGTTTTATGCTTAAATGTTTCAGGTACTTCTGGTTCGAACGGGAAGGGTCCAACTTGATCGCATTGCATTCCATAGAGTTTTCCGCACTATCTGTTATAACTTATTACTGATGATTTAAGAATACATTACAATATAGTTATCTTTTGAAAAAACGAATGAATGATTTGGTTTTTCTGAAAATGAAATTTTTACTTAGTATTTTTGTGATGTTATGGCTCCGACATACAAGATACTAATAATTTGAAGAAGCAGTTGTCTAGGGAGTTCGAGATAATTGACATAGGGGTAACGAAGCAAATACTTGGCATAAACATAGTCAAAGATAAAGTTGTGGATACTCTAAAACTTTCCCAAGAAAAGTATATTTAGATGTTTTTAGAAAAGTTCAACATGTTAGATGCTAACGCCAAAAGTACATCCGTTGGGAGTCACTTAAATCTCTCCAAGATCAATCCTCAAATTCCAAAGAGAGAAAAATAGAAACAAAGAATTTTCCTTATGTGTTCGTAGTTAGTATATTGATTTACATGATAATGTGTACCAAACCAGATGTTGCTCATGCAGAAGGAGTCATTAGCAAAAATATGTCCAATACGAAGAAAGAGCATATTAAAGGAGTTAAGCGGTTGCTTTGCTAGTTGAAGAGAACTTTAGGTGTTGCCTTATGTTTTCGAAGTTATACAATCTTCCTTGAAAGTTTTTCCATGATGATTTAGGGTTGTGTGGATTCAGTTAAAAGCACTATTGGTTATGTATTCATAATTGGATGGACAACCATTAGTTGGGTGTCAATGTTATAGAAGAGTGTGGCTCAATCAACCGCAAAATATATGCCTATAACATAAGTTAGCAACAAGCTTATTTGGTTGAAGAACTTTTTATCGAAGTTAGGCTTGAATCAAGAATATTATGATGGGTTTTATAGGTTACAAAACTATGTGCTTACAGGATTTCACTTGACACTTAAGGGCACATGCAACCTAAAGGATCTATGTCATACACTATGAATGTAACATTCTATGAATAAAAAAACTAGATGAACCCTAATATAATCAAATTACAATACAAGAGTTAGGGTTACATACATTTGATTTGTTATAGTAAACAAATCACTTCAATCCTTTCTTTGAAGAGCTTGGAAAGCTAGCACCAAAAGGATGACGTCTCTAATGGCTCACACCAAAAACCTAAAACTAGAAGACAATTGAGGAGATAGGATGGAAAGGAAATTTTGTTCCTAAGCCTTATGGGAAGATCATGCACGGAAAATCTATGTCTTGGATCCTATTTGGATGGGTGAAACATTCCAAAGATGTGTAGTTTTGGTAAGAAGTTCTAAATCATATACTATGTGTCAGTAATTCTAGAAGCTTTAATCTAAAGTGGCAATAAAGCAATTTTTGTCTTGGGCTTTAATATTGTATATACAATTTTGGAGAATAAGTTTTTTGACTATATGTTAGAATGTCAAAAGCCTATTAACCTATCCCATTATTTTAGGTCAATGTCCTATATATACATCTCACTTATTGTAACCCTAATATGAGACATTCGATATACAAGTGACGTGAGTATGAGCTGATATTATGGATGCAGTAAATACATAGATCTTGTATAACATCTTTATATATATATATATATATATATATATATATATATATATATATATATATCTTTACTATTATACAAAGCATATTTGGTGTTTCTTGAATTTTAAGAGGTACAAATCTTACTACACGTTGTACAACCCTAAAATGCTATATCATCTTATGCGTTTAATGTCAAACAAGTTTCATCTCCAAACCCTAAAATCTAAATCTTAATTTTCCACCACTACACCTATGGAGAACCATCGATTTGTTGATATGCCCCTTCACACCTATATGGCCGCCGCCACCACCACGACCGTCACTGCTTTTCCTATCCACCAACAAAGTTGTCATCGTTGCTTTGCCTAACCACCACCACATGCGTCGCTGCTTTTCCTCTCTCCCACCAAAATCGTTGTTGCTGCTTTGTCTCACCACGACAATATGTGGCAATAGATCTGAAAAAACTGGTGTTGAAGAACATTGACATTACCACCACCACAGCTGCTTTGTCTCATCGCCATAGATATTACCACAACCATGGCTAATTTGTCTCATCGCCATAGACATTACCTCTCTTGGTAACATAATTAGGTAATTTCACCATACAGGTGTTTGTTATTGCTGAAAGGGAATGTGTGAATTTCTTCTTTTCACAGGTATGAAGTCATACTGAATAACTTTATTGTACCCACCATTTGGTAACCTAATTTGTGTTGCATAACTATGTTGTTAGCTACGATGCTCTGCATAAACTTGAAATTACACAACCAATTCAGTTAGTTTCTGCAGGTATTATAAGTCATTTTTTTTGTATTTTAATGTGTTGGACATATCTTTGAAGGGGCATAAGTATAACTCTATATGAACTTAGTTTTTTAGGAATAAAGTAAAACTTTTTGTAATATTTATAATTTATCTAATCAATGTTTTGGTCATGAATGTAATGTAGTCCAGGTATCCCGAAGGTATACCCTTAGTTTCCTTATTTGTTCGCTCATCAACAATTCAGATGTTGGATTCATATCAGATGTTTCTTTGTCCATCCATACAATCAACACTTTTTTTAGTGTTGAGTGGTCCTCCTCTTCAAAACCTACAAACGAGTTGTACCCATATTGGGTGTTTTAAAGCTTTTGTTGAATTTTTACTAATAATTTTTTAGTGTGGTGTTTATTGGCATTTTGGCCAACAAGTACATCTTGAGAAAAGAGGGATAAAGGATTGAGTATCAGATGCATAAGCTACTAGATCTGAATCTATGGGAAAAATGGCAAGTTGAAGATTATGAACCTTTTGAACTATGTATCTGATTTCTCTGTTTTTATTCTAATTCAAATGTATTATCCTTCTACTTTTTCTAAGTTTTGCAACAGAAGATAGCTACATGTTCTATAGCTACAGAACAACTCATAGATCTACTTGATGTACAAAGC